TTTTTTTGGTTTCTCTTTTGATCTGCTCATTGGCCCACTGGTTGTTCAGTAGCATGTTGTTTAATCTCTATATGTGTGAATTTCCCATTTTCTTCTAGTAATTGATTTCTAGTTCCATACCACTGTGGTCAGAAAAGTTGCTTGATAGGATTTCAGTCATCACTTTAGAAAATTCTAGTCTTCTTAAATTTAGTTACTTGTCTTGTAGCCTAACATCTGATATCTCCTGGAGAATGTTCCATGTGCACTTGAGAGGAATGTGTTCCGTCTCTCCTTTTGGGTGGAGGGTTCTTTATATATCTGTTAAGTCCATGTGGTCTAACTTGTTTCCTGAAGCTGATGTTTTCTTACTGATCGTCTGGATGGATGGTCTATCCATTGATGTAAGTAAGGTATTAAAATCCCTTACTATTATTGTGTTGCTGCCGACTTTTCCTTTTAGGTATGTTCCTATTTACTGGGCATATTTAGTTGCTCCTATATTGGGTGGGTAAATATTTACAAATACTGTATCCTCTTATTGCATTGATTCCTTTATCATTCTGTGATGCCCTCTTTTGGCTTTTGTTAACAGTGTTTGGATTTTTTTTCTCTCCTCCATTGGGCTGAGAATCAGAAGATTGTTTGTTAGCTGTGCAACCTTGAACAAAGCACACCCTTTCTCTAAGTTTGTTTTTTTCTCTATAAAATAGAAACAATAAATTATTCTCCCAGGACCATATTATGACTCAAATAAGAGAGTGTATATAAAAGTGCTTTGTAAACTATGGAATACTGCCCAAATATGAAAAGTTATAATGCTCATGATTATGCAGCGGCCAAATGTTCAGAATTAGATTTTTTGAATTTATTTATTTTTATTTTATTTTTTTTAGGATAAGATTTTTTTTTAAGACATAATTATTTATTTTAGAGAGAGTGTGCTCACACACTTGCTAGAGAGGAGAGAGGCAGAGGCAGAGAGAAAGACAGTCCTTGAGCAGACTCCCCACTAAGTGTGGAGCTGGACTCTGGGCTCTATTCCGATCTTAAGATCATGACCTGAGCTGAAATCAAGAGTCTGCTGCTTAACTGACTGAGCCAACTAGGCACCCCCAAAATAAGATTTTTTTTGAATAGTATTTATTGAGGGCTTACTGTTACAGATACTATTTTAAGTAACCTCCATCTCATTTAATTCTAAAAACTATTTTAAAAATTTTAAAAAGCTATTCTGAGAGTAAATATTCATATTATCCTCAGAGTTGGGGAAGCACAGGCACAAAAGAGGTTAAGTAACTTGTTCAATGTCATAGTAAATGTCAGAACTAGATACAGACTTGAGTGTATGACTCTGAAGTCTGTGTTCTTTCTTTTTTTAAAGCTTACCAAATATATACATAGCTCTTAAAATATCATAGATTAAATTACTTTAGCCTTTCGTGAAACACTGAGCATCAGAAGATGCTTTAATTTGGGGCACCCAGCTGGCTTAGTCACTGGACCATGAGACTCTTAATCTTAGGATTGTGAGTTCGAGCCACACTGGGGATACAGTTTACTTAATTTTTTTTAAAAGATGCTATATAATTGGACTTGTTTTCTTTTTCCTTTTGACCCCTTCATCCATTTCTCCCACCTCCAACTCTCTACCTCTGGCAACCACCCATCTGTTCTCTGTATCTATGAGCTCAGTGTTTTGTTTTAAGATTCCACATATAAGTGATTTATAATATTTGTCTTTCTCTTTCTGGCCTACTTAGCATAATGCCTTCAAGGTCCATCCATGTTGCAAATGGAAAGATTTCATTCTTTATTGTGGCTGAGTAGTATTCCATTTTGCGTATATACCACAATTTCTGTATCCATTTATCCACTGATGGGCACTTAGGTTGTTTCTGTATTTTCATTATTGTAAATAATCCTGCAGTGAACATATGGATGCATATACTTTTTTGAGTTAGTGTTTTCATTTTCTTCAGATAAATACTCAGAAGGGGAATTGCTAAATCATATGGTAGTTCTATTTTTATTTTATTTTTTTTGAGGAATTTCCATAATGTTTTCCATAGTGTCTCTGTCAGTTTACATTCCCACTAACTACACAAGGATTTTCCCTTTCTCTACATCTTCACCAATACTTGTTATTTCTTGTCTTTTTGTCATTGTCTTGTCTATCAAATGGCCATTCTAACAGTGTGAAGTGATGTCTCATTGCGGTTTTTGTTTTTAAATATTTTTTTATTATTTATTTATTTATGAGAGACACACAGAGAGAGGCAGAGACAGAAGCAGGCTCCCCACAGGGAGCCCAATGCGGGACTCCATCCCCTGACCCAGGATGACACCCTGAGTCAAAGGCAGATGCCCAACTGCGGAGCCACCCAGGCGTCCCTTTCATTGTGGTTTTGAATTGCATTTCCCTGATGATTAATGATGTTGAGCACCTTTTTCTGTACTTGTTGACCATCTATATGTCTTTAGAAAAATATCTAGTCAGAGCTGCCCATTTTTTAATTAGATTGCTCGTGGGGTTATTTTGTTTTGTTTTTGGTATTGCTTTTCATGAGTGCTTTATATTTTAGATATTAACCCCTTATCAGATACATAATCTACAAATTTTTCCCCTACAGTAGGTTGCCTTTGTATTTTGTTGATAGTTTCCTTTGCTAGGCAGAAGCTTTTTAGTTTGATGCAGTCCCACACATTTTGCTTTGTTTTTTTTTCTTTACTTTTGGTATCAGGTTAAAGAAAAAAATCATTACCATGACCTGTATCAAGTAGCTTTCCCCTGTGTTTTCTATTCTTGAGAGACACACAGAGAGAGGCGGAGACATAGGCAGAGGGAGAAGCAGGCTCCCTTCAGAGAGCCCAGTGCAGGACTCAATCCCAGGACCCAAGGATCATGACCTGAGCCGAAGACAGATGCTCAACCACTGAGCCACCCAGGCGTCTCACCCTATGTTTTCTGTTAAGAGTTTTATAGTTTCTGGTCTTACATTCAAGTCTTTAATCCATTTTGAGTTAATTTTTGTGTACAGTGTAAGATAGTGGTGCACTTTCATTCTTTTGCATGTGACTGGTTTTCCCAATGCTATTTATTAAAGAGACTGTTCTTCCCACCTTTATTTTTTTTAAGATTTTATTTATTTATTCACGAGAGACCAGGGGCCGGGTGGGGAGGCAGAGGACTAAGCAGGCTCCATGCAGGGAGCCCTATGTGGGACTCAATCCCGAGTCCCTAGAATCACGCTTGTGCTGAAGGTGGCGCTAAACTGCTGAGCCACCGGGCTGCCCTCTTTCCATCTTTATATTCTTGGCTCCTTTGCCATAAGGTATTGGACCATATATGTGTGGATTTATTTCTGGGCTGTCTCTTCTGCTCTATTGATCTGTGTGTCTGTTTAATGCCACTACTATATTGTTTTGATTACTATATATAGCTTTGTAATAGATTCTGAAATCAGGCAGTGTGATGCCTTTAGCTTTGTTCTTCTTTCTCAAGATTGCTCTGACTATTCAGTCTTTTGTGGCTGCAGACAAATTTTTTGATTCTTCGTTCTATTTCTGTGAAAAATGCAATTAGAATTTTGATGGGAATTGGATTTAATCTGTAGGTGGTTTAGGAAAGTATAGACATTTTAACACTTTTAATTCTTCTAATCCATGAATATGGAATGTCTTTCCATTTACTTGTGTTGTCTTCAACTTCTTTCTTTAATGTCTTGTTGTTTTTAATATATAGGCTTTTACCTCCTGGTGAAGTTTATTCCTAGGTATTTTATTCTTTTTGATGCAATTTCAAATGGGATCATCTTCCTAACTTTTTTTTCCCTGATAGTTCATTATTAGTGTATAGAAACACAAAAAATTTTTGTTTATTGGTGTTGTATCCTTCACCTTTACTGAATTCATTTATTAGTTTGAACAGTTTTTCAGTGGAGTCTTTAAGGTTTTCCTGATGTACTATGTCACCTGCAAATAGTGACAGTTTTACTTCTTTTTTTCTAATTCAGATGCTTTTTATTTATTTTTCTTTCATAATTGCTCTGGCTAGGATTTCCAATACTATGTTGAATAAAAGTGCCAAGGAAAGATCAGGCAAGTTCCTGGTCTTAGAAGATCTTAAAGGAGATAATAATAGTTGAAACTCTTCACCATTGGATGTGATGTTATCTGTGGACTTGTCATATGTGGTCTTTATTTTTAATGTGTTGAGGGGTGTTCCTGCTATACCCACTTTGTTGAGAATTTTTATCATAAGTGGATATTAAGTTTTGTCAGATGCTTTCTGCATCTTTTGAGATGATCACTTAAAAAAAAAAGATTTTATTTATTTATTTGTGAGAGAGAGAGGCAGAGACACAAGCAGAGGGAGAAGCAGGCTCCATGCAGGGAGCCCGACGTGGGACTCGATCCTGGGTCTCCAGGATCAGGCCCTGGGCTGAAGGTGGCGCTAAACCGCTGAGCCACCGGGGCTGCCCTGGGAGTTTGTTTTAAACCACTGTTGACTGTGTTCTGCTCTGGGTTTGCATAAGCCAGTTGACTTGAATTAGGAAAGCCCAGACACTGGTGTCCCTATCTCCTTTTACTTGCACCTTGGAATTATTTGTAATAACAAAGACTGCTTATTGAGTACCCGCTCTGTGTGAAGCCCAGTGCTCCGTGTTGACCCATTTGATCCCTTCTGTAACCCTGCATGATAACTATGATTCTTTCCCCATTCTAGAGGTGAGTAAACTAAAGCTCAGAGAGGCTAAATCTGTGCATCTAGCAACTATTTATGGAGATCGGCCTCTGTGCCAGGTCATGGTGTGGACCGGGATACAAAACAGACCCAGAGGTCCCTGGGAATCAGGATGTCCTCCAGCAACCCTCCTCCTGCACTCCAGGGTGGGTGCTGTGTGTGAGGGTGCTCTGTCCCCCTCCTTGCATCCAGCTCATGGTCAGGAGGAAGGTCACTGGGCAGGAGGGCAACCCAGAAAAGTTTGGGAAATGACCATGCCTTTTTCTCTTAACAGGGAGGACCTGCTTCTGTCTGATTTCTGGAGTCTGGCACTAGGTGGGTACCAGATGGCCAAGACTGAGGGTGGAGAGTGTGGGAGGAGGGCCTGAATGTGGGCAAAGAAAGGAGTCCAGTCCATATTTGGTGATTCTTTTCTTCACAGAGCTGGGTTCTAATTCTGACTTCCTGGGTTGACTCAGCAGTTGAGTGCCTGCCTTTGGCTCAGGACGTGATCCTGGGGTCCCGGGATCGAGTCCCACTTCGGGCTCCCCACAAGGAGCCTGCTTCTCCCTCTGCCTGTTGTCTCTGCTTCTCTCTCTCTCTGTGTCTCTCATGAATAAATAATTAAAATCTTAAAAAAAATAATAATTCTGACTTCCTGCTCACAACCATGTCTTGCACTTAACTAGCCCTGACCTTTAGTTTCTGTATCTGTGAAAGAGAGGTGACAATGTGCATATTGTGATATAGTTTTGAAGATTAAATGAGGCTGTTTGGTTAAGTGCTTAGGACAGTGCTTGCCTGGGCACAGGAGGCAGTCGATGTCCATCGCCACCATAGCTGTTGAAATTTATTCTTCATACATTCTTTCCCTCAATATTACTACATAGGCTTGTTTCTCCTCATGCGCTTGTAACCTCTTCCTAAACAGAGTCTATGGCAACAGAAATGTTAATACGGGTAGTGGATATACAGCAGTTAAAATTTTTATTGAGGGACATTTAGTTTGTTTACTTTGGTTTTTTAGTTCTTACACTTAACTGTTTTTTTTTTTAATTTATTTATGATAGTCATACAGAGAGAGAGAGAGAGGCAGAGACACAGGCAGAGGGAGAAGCAGGCTCCATGCACCGGGAGCCCGACGTGGGATTCGATCCCGGATCTCCAAGATCGTGCCCCGGGCCAAGGGCAGGCGCCAAACCGCTGCACCACCCAGGGATCCCTTACACTTAACTGTTCAATGAGCACCTGTATCTGTAAAGCTTTTACCAAATTTAGGATGATCCTCTCAGGACATATTCCCAGAAATGGAATTATTTAGTGACAGGCAGTGACCAACTTGATATCTGCTGTCAAGTTTTTTCCAAAAAGCTTTCAAGCCAATACTTTCACCAGCAAGGACTGAAAGAGCCAGTTCTTCATCCAGCCTTTCCGAGCTGGGGTCTTATTTAAACATCTTTGCTAGTAAGTTGAAAGTCAGTATCTTACTATGGGACCATGGCCTTTTGTTTTTTGTACTGTATATAGATCTGTTCAAATAAATTCAGTGCCAGTGTAATAAAAGGAGAGACGAGAACTCACTGCCGTGTGAAAAGATTTAAACAGTATTTTTCATTAGACTCCAAAAGCTGCAGCCTACCTTTGTTTTTCTTTGAACTTGTAACAGTAAATATTCCTATTCCCAGCCTTTTATGGTGTGATTTTGAGAACTTCTGTTCTTCCATTCTTTGTTATAATAAAAAAAAGTAGGTACTTCAGAGCATAGCCCACATTTACCAGGTACCTCCTACTAAATTAGACAGGGTTCACATTAGAGTTTCAGTTGGAAACTGTACACATAAATAAAGCCAATTTTTTTGCTTGGAACAATCTTGGAGGTTGCAGGCCAGGGTGCGTGGAGGGGACCCGACAGCCAGTGGTGCTGGTCGTGGCCGCATGTCCCAGGCATGTTTGGGACTAAGGCCTGCAGCCTTCTCCCGGAAGAGCTGAGTTTTCCTGACTTACTCCTTTTCTCCCTGGGTCTGTGGACATCTGTGGGGGATTAGGTTCATGGGGTCAGAGCACAGCCTCTGATTGTGTTTGGGGGCCTGCTCTTTCAGAAACCATCAACAGCTGTCTTACAAAACATCTGGAACAACTGAAGGCCCCTGATGGGACTCTTTTGGAAGCCCTTGGAAACCTGCATCTTAACTCCTCTCCAGATGAGTCAGCTGTGACCCCTGGTGCCATCCCAGGAGAGACCCTGGTCCCAGGAACCTGCCATTGGAAGTGTGTATGTTATGGCATTGGGAACTTTGCCACCTGTGTCATAGCTAGATACCAGCTAACATTTTTGCTCCTCTTCCTGGAAAAGTGCCAGGTAAATTTTCGGATTCTTTTCAATCACTCCCTCCCTTGGTCTTGCACACGGTATGCACGAGATCTTTGGGTTGATAGAACTCATTCTTCCCTTCTGCAGATTCCCAGAAGGCACTGCTGGGTGTACGACCCTCTGTTCAGCCAACTAGAAATTGGGGTTCTGAATACCCTTGGTTTGACAGTTCTCAGTGAGAATGAGGTAAGTGGCTCAGGGAAGGGGAACATGGGGGCAGTGACAATGCTGACCCAGTGGGACCCCAGGCTGTGCCCCATGGATGCACTTACTCTGCAGTCACTGTCGCTCCCTCCCACTGCTCACTTGCCTTCCCGGTGCCTGTCATATGGGACCCCTCAGTGATACACATCCTCTCCTACATTGTGCCCATCACAAAAAAAGTAAATGGCACAAATGGCATGGACTGAAACCTGTTATATTTGCAAAATCCTAGTGAGAATTCCATGTCCAGGAGCCTCTGGTAATTTCCTAAGTTGCTACTTATGTGGGTGTTAATAAATAAAGTGGTACACATTCTCGGTGCCTCAAATGAGGGCTTTCTGGTTGGGATTTACCCTGTCCTAGGGGAAGTCCTAGAAGGGACACAACATCTCTGTTTGTGGAGTAGCCCAGTCACACCCATAGCCTCTGGCAGTGAGCCATGGGTAGATCCTCCACCCAGAGGTACCATTAGTGAGACCTGGAGAAGGGACATCATCTCACAAGCAGGGTCTGAAGCCAGTGTAGGCACACACCTCTGCAAGCAGCTTTGCATTGCTTGGGGGATTACAGAATAATCACTTGATCCCTCTGTCCAAAACTACCATCTCATTGCTTATTATGAAACCCGGGGGCGCCTGGGTGGCTCAGTCAGTTAAGCATCTGCCTTCAGTTCAGGTCATGATCCCAGGATTCTGGGATGGAGCCCCCATGTCAGGCTCCCTGCTCAGCGGGGAGGCTGCTTCCTCCTCTCCCTCAACCTGCTACTCCCCCCACTTATGTGCTCACTCTTTTTCTCTGTCAAATAAATAAATAAAATCTTAAAAAAAAAAAAAAAAAGCTGAAAATCAGGCCCTGCTGAGAGAAGAGAATCCTTCAATGTTGGCGGGGCCCTGAAGCCCTGCCACTGCGTTCTCATCATTTTTTCCTGAGTGCCTATTCTGTGCTGGCAGGGACTTTGGGAGAGGCCAAGATAGATGCAGTCCCTGTCTCCAGGGAGCCCATGGTCCCATCAAGGCGTATGGCCTGTAAACAAGCCAGTGGTGAGCAGAGCAGAAGGGGAAAGCACCCCATGCCATTTGAGGGGCTGGAGGAAGGTTTCCTGGGTCGGTGCTGGGATTGCAGGTACCCCCAGGAGTTGGCTGGATGGACCCAGGTGGGGTTGCAGGCAAGCCTGTGCAGAGTAGCCGTGGGGGAGCCACTGTCTGTTTGTGATGGACAGAAGGGAGGAGGGTGTGGAGCAGAGAGGCCCAGGGAAGGCAGGACTAGGCAGCCAAGGGAGGGCCTGCTTCCCTGCGACAGGTCTGGCTGTGGAGCCATGGCCCTGGGGAGGGGGAGCACTTGTGTCCCCCGGAAGACATTTGGTCTGGCAGGCATCTGCAGAAGGGGACACAGGAGGCCTGGAGGCTTGCCAGGCACAGTTCACAAGGGCAGTAATCATTGCCACCCGTCCTGCCCTTGCTGTCACGGACCCAAGAAGCCCCTCTGCTAATCCAGGGCTTTCTGTGTTCATGGGACACACATCTGTTCAGTAAACGCAGGTTCCTTCTGGACCTCGTGATTTCCAGATGACGTGGGCCTACAAGCCGGGAAATGTCAGCCATGCCCCGTTATGACGTGCTGATATAATGGAAGTACAATTTTGTGTGCGTCTGTGGTGTGTCTGTTGTGACATGCTCACAGTCAGGGTGACCAGCGCCTGCCTCCTCACCTTGGTACACTGTTCCTTATTCGGTGGTGAGAGCGCTGGGCTTCTTCAGATCTGCCCTCCCCTCCCTCACCTCCTGGGAAGAGCAAAGCGTTTACACCATGTATGTGGTGCCCACAGGAAGGAAAACGGAGTGTGGACGGCGAACCCACCATCTTCTACATGCCCCACTGCGGGACGGCCCTGTACAACAACCTGCTCTGGAGCAACTGGTCGCTGGATGCCCTTTCTCAGATGCTCCTCATCGGGAACAGCTTCCGAGGACTTGAGGAAAGGTGAGCCTGAGAACACAGAGGCCCTCAGGCCTGCAGGGGAGCCCTTCCTGACGGACCCCGACACAGGAGATGCTTGTCCCCAGGAAAGTAGACAGGGTTAGATCAGGGACATCGACCCCCCAGGTCAGGCTGCAGAGTGAGTTAAGGAGGTCTTTCTGGCCAAGAACTCCTTCCCTTCCCTAAAAAACAAGTTTTTTTAGAAGTGGGTTAAGGGGGATCCCTGGATGGTGCAGCGGTTTAGTGCCTGCCTTTGGCCCAGGGTGCGGTCCTGGAGACCCGGAATCGAGTCCCATGTCGGGCTCCCTATGTGGAGCCTGATTCTCCCTCTGCCTGTGTCTCTGCCTCTCTCTCTATGTCTATCATGAATAAATTTTTTTTTTTTTAATCTTAAAAAGAAAGTGGGGGAAAGCTTTTGCACTTTCTGCTGTGCATGCTTAGGTGTCTGCCTGTGTGCCTCCCTTCTCTCTTGGCGAAACAGGTGCTTAGGGGGCATTCACATTTTCTAAGCATTATCGAACCTACTCCACATTCCCCCTCTTTAAACCGTTTGCTATCTTTAAACCACTTTGCCTTTCTGTATGTATTGAGTTGGATAAAACCACTCCCATACCTCCTAATCACGCTGGATTTTTAATTTTTTTAATTTCTAGATTGCTGGGAAGGATTTTGCAGAAAAATTATACCTACATCGCAAAGGTATCTGTCTAAATGAAGGGGCTGGGATGGGAAGGTGGGTAAAACCAGACCATTTCTGTTAATGTGAAGAATCTGCCTTTACACAGGTGGGAGGAAGCTCACCAGGGGCTTGTTGAGGGCAGAGTGAAGTTATTCTACTCAGAGTTTAGACAGCTCTGTTCCAGAAAGCGACTACCTGTTTTTCATTCTCAGTATCAGTACCACATACTCAGTGCCCTTGGAGCTTCCAGTTCATCACACAGAAGCACTTACATCAAAATATCTGAGTCCTTATGTTTTTGGTTTTTTTTTTTTTTATAAAGTACTATAGGGGTGACAAACTGCACCCAGAAGTGTGGAGTTTGCTGTGACTGTCAGGGTGATTACATTTGAATTTTTCTGCTCAGATTTTAAAGGGGCTAGAGGAGCTTGAGCTGCCCGAGACTTCCCAGTACACCGATGTATTTAATGATACCTCCATCCACTGGTTCCCTGTACAGAAGCTACAACAACTCCCCACAGACACTTGGGCATTTCAAGAAGAACCAGACTATCAGGACTGTGAGGACCTTGAAATCATCAGGAACAAGACGAGGGATCATTGAGCTGCTGACTTGAACCTCCTGTGACGTGTTTGGTGCTGGGCACCTCAGCTCTGCTGAGGCAGAGCTGCTGCCATCAGAAATGACAGGGAAAGTGCCATGGAGGACACGCACAGAGCACAGGAAATACTCAGTTTGGTTCCCTCCTCAGGAGGCTGTGCTGTGTGAAAGGGCTTAGTATAAAGACCGATGCGGTTCTAGAGCATTCTCTTGGCGACCTGACAGGGAATATCTCCTGGATGGAGAGTTAACTACTCTTACAGAGGCAGTTTAAAATACCATTTATTTATAACTACATCCCCTCTGCAGTCCAAGTGTCCAGCCTGCTGCAGCCTGCCCTCTCTACTTGGCCATGTCAATCAGGCTTTGCAGGGAGGTGGGCACCCAGGTCTTCTCGCCCTGGACAAACACGACTCCCCGGTCGATGTAGATGACGATGCGGCCAAAGGTGTAAAGCTGCTTCCCTTCGTGTCGCTTCCCGATGACCGGCATGAAAACGATGTTGTGCTCCTCGGCCTTGGTCTCAATGAGGTCCTTAAAGTTCATGGGCACAGAGCTGGCAGCCACACCAATGCCCCTCTGGGCCATGTTCTCAGCCTCCCGTCGCTCCTGCATGGCCTCATACTGGAAGTCTTTCCTCCTCTCTGTGTGGGTGAGGTAGGCTATGTTCTCCCGTGCTCCGGGCTGCATGTAGGCACCTGGAAGATGGAGGAGGGGAGTGAAGAGAGGGGATCCAACTGCACAGAAATGGAGACTCATTTGTGACTCAGCGAAGGGCTGCTGGGCCTGACACAAAATGCTACGACAGATGGCAAGCACCCTCAAGAAGTTTACTCAATTGCCTGCTATCCTATAAAAATGTTTCTGGCTAATCTGTAGTAATCAGATTACTAACAGGAATCACTGCAAGAAATTTAGCCTTTCGGGGTGGAAACCTTGACAACGTACGGCCTATCCTAGCTCTATGTACAGGGCCAAGCCCTGGGAGAATTTAGAATGGATTTAGGGAGCTCAGACAGACGGTAAGGGGCACAGATGGGAACAGCTCTAGGAGGTGGCCTGGGGCCAGGGTGGTTGAGGGAGAGTTTCTAGAGAGTATGAAGCTGGTGGTGGCCCACAGTGGGGCCTGGATGAAAACAGAGCATAGAAATGTATCTGGCTCATTCAACAGAGTATATAATCTCTGAACTCACTCTCTCCATGTAACAGGCTCAAAGGATTATAGAAATTACAGTCCCAGCTGGCATTCTATTTGAACAAGCTCTTGGCCTTGTGGAGCTTCTCTGAAGCAGGGCAGGCCTCTGTGTTGAGATGTGAATACACAGACCTAGGCGGTGACTTTCCCAGTCAAGGACTGGGTATTAAGAGGACCGTCACCTGCCTACTTAATGTGCACAGACTGTGGCTCACTTAACTCCACCACCTAGTTTTTTAAGAAAACCTAAAGTAGGCATTATGACTGTTTCACAAGTAACACAATAGGCCAGGCAAGGTCAGGCAACTGCTAGGTGTCAGGCTGTGTCCCGACTCCATGTGGCGAGCTGTTCCATTAGCACTCTGAGGTATTCACAGCCGTGCCAGCAAACCTGGAAAGTGGCCCTAGAGGCAGGCTCCCCCACAGTGAATCCAGCTGCAGTCAGACTCGGGTCAGGGGCCTATGCCCCTCCCAGTGCTGGGAGAGCAAGGCAGGGGGTGCTAATTACATAACCAGGTCTGGTGGGCAAGAGTCCGTGTTGGAGCAGGCAGCCCACAGGCACCTGAAAACTGCTGCTTCTGTGTCAGTTACATGTTCAGAAATGTGGCACTCAGGGCCAGGACATCCAAAGTGGAATCCCCACTCACCAACATTGGAGGACACTGCCCTGTTCATGATATCAAGTGCTTCGTTAAATTTGTCCTTGACAGATGGGTGTGCCAGCACTTGGTCTGAGAACATGGACTTCCAACCCAGGTACCACTTGGTGATCTCCTCATAATTTGGGCTGTTACTAAGCCAAGAGCAAAGTACCTGCCAAAAAGAAAGAAATCAGAAACTTGCACCCACAATGGTGGCAAATGGGAGCAAAACTTCCAAGGGGCCATTGGTTTCGACCTGGGTCCTTCAAGCTGGTGACACTTGCAGCAGTCTCTAGGAGCTGAACAGTCTGGCATTTAGTAGAGTGTGGGATCTGAAGTCATCTTAACAGCTACACATCCATGAATGTAAACTCCCTGAACCTCAAGGCTATGCCAGCCCCTACCCGCAAAGATTTGGTGTCAGAAGCGGAGGGAACGCACATCAAGTGCTTAGCATCTGGCATGTGGCATCTGTTCAATAAATGGTGGTTGCTGTGACTACTGCTTATTTTTGTTCTGTGTGATAGCACTGTCACCTGATAGCTGTCCAAGGATCGAGCTCCTACAGGCAGACCTTGGCAGAAAAGTAAGCGAATCCTCCCTGCCTCCATCCCACCAACCCCCTCCAAAAACACAGCAGGGTATACCTGAAGCCACTTGGGGAAGAAGTGTTTCTCAAGCAGTCCCACAAGGCTGGACACGGAGATCATTCCTTCCCAGTCGATGACCCAGTAAAAAGCATCCATGTGCTGCTGGTGGGGATTAATGACTAACTCCCCAAGACACATCCCTGCAAAAGAAGCCTGGTTTCTAAAGCAAAGGCACAGAAGCACATAGCAAAATCCTCATCAGATGACACAGGACTAAACCTTTTATCTTAATTTTAAACTCTTGACATGGCAATTCTTAAAAACCACTTTCTATAATCCAGAAATAACTAATACATATTTAAAACCAAATAGCACAGAAATTTCAGAGCATTAATGCCTAGCATGTTACCAGAAACCCAAACCAGACCAGGAACCAAGAAGCTGGCAGAGTCTGAGGCTGTTGATGCCATAGGGACCCTGGGTATGTTTATATTCCACCTCTAAGCAAAATGGCGCTTCTTGGATTGAGAAATATCCTGTGTTCAGCTTTTTCATGGAGCCCCAGGGCCGTGTTTTAAGAAGCATGGATCCTCACCGATGGCCACAGAAACCAGGGCACTGAAGCTGCTGGACCCAATACTCTCTTCTCTATTCCCTTACCTAGTTTGGGCACTATGTTCTTGACCATGAATGCTTCCCAGGAGCCAGGGGTGAAGACATCTTTCCAAGGCTGGAGGATGAGCTTGGCAGAGGAGTCGCTGGGGTGCCACTTCTGCAGGGCGCTGGAGAGCTTGCTGCGGATGGGGGAATAGAGTGGTTCCAGGCGTGCTTGCATGAGGGGCAGCCACGGGTGGACCCAGGAGTGGATGGGCACGGTGTCTGTCAGTGGGTTCCAGTTTTCCACCTGCAGGAGGCGTGGGACAAACCAGTTCCAGATGCACTGTGCAGTCGACAGCACGGACGCCTACCACTCTCCTGGCCAAGGCCCACAGGCCTCTGCACAACCAAACTAGTATCCCCACGGCAGCTGCATGGAATCTCCGAAACGAAGAAACCAAGAAAATAACTTCCCTATTTAAGTAGGGAAACTGGGGGAAATCCCAACAAAAGGGCTGGAGTTACCCACAGGACGGTAACCATGTCAGCCGATTCTGCTCATTCCACGCCTTCTGACAGCACTGGGGGAGCAGAGAAATGCCCCTCGTTACTGCTGCCAGCTGTTCCCATGACCCGGGGGCCCTACCTCTTTCTGCAGCTTAGGGAAGATGAGCTGGTCCAGAATGTTATCTAAGATCCACACAGGAATAATGTGCACCCAACTATCCAAAAAGTCCACCATCGGGTCACAGTTCCTTGGCTGCCACTGGGTGACGATATTTCGAACAAAAGGCATCCAGACTTCCCATATCAGCCTGTGGGAGAAAGGCAGAGGGCAGGCTAACTGCGCAGACAGGTTTCAAAGCAGACAGTACACCGCCACCCACTATCCAGAACGAGAAAGGAAAAGGCACGGAAATGCAAGCACAGCAAACCACCAGGCCAGTCCCCATAGTGCCCAGAGCTGCACCTAACTCGTCCCTGCTTGCCCAGCCACCTGCTTGACCTCAGGGCCTGGGTCTCGCTGCCTGACAGGGTTGCTGTGGGGACCCGTCCCGAGGGATGCCTTGCTTTCCTTTGGGAGCTCTCTGCACAGCTTGACAGCTCACCTCGTGAGTCACCTCCTTTCAGAGACCTCTGCTTCATACTACTCCCACCACCCAAACAGGTGTGCATCCCCTCTCTCCTCCATCCCTGGCCTCGTTCGTCCACTTCCTTACCCTCCACCTGCCTCTTCCACTCTCTGAAGCCCGACACTGTCAGCCTTACTCCCAGGGCAAGCCTGGCATGTGCACGACACTGGCCAACACATGACAGGTGCAGGGTGGGAAGGCCAGTCCCTTCCTTCCCCAGCATCTTTCTCCTGAGCCCCAGGCTGAGTACCTGTGAAAGGCGTCTGCCGAGAGATCCTGCCCGCCGTGGGATAAGAGCTGGTCGTTCTCTAGGAGGGTCTTCCACCTGGAGATGACCTGGGTGCCGTAAGCGCAGTCCTGGGGAGAGACCTGGCCGTGATGCAGCACCGCGGGCCAGCACCCACCACCCTGTCCCACCTGCAGGGCAGGAGCACAGCGGCTCCTCTCACCAGCCACTCACCTTCAGCGGGTCCCACTCCTTGAAGTACTCCTTCATGAGCGGGTACACAATGGCCACGGCCAGGTCCACGCGGTCGGACATCCTGTACTCCTCGTAGTACTTGTCTTGCAGGGTCTCAAAGATGCGGGCACACTCGTCCAGGGTGAGGGGGTTGCTGCAGGAGGGCTGCAGGCGCCGCTCACACTCCTCCACCATCTCCAGGACCTTGCTGAGGTTGGCAATGACCCGCTCCTCATGCTCCAGGACCTCTGACATCTTCTCCAGCTCGTGCGACAGGTTGACCACCATGTCCCGCTCATACTGCAGCTGCCGGTCACTCTGGATGATCTCCTGCTCTGTGAGGTCAATAAGCAGCTGCAGGTTGTGCTCCAGCTCAGGCAGGGCGAAGCCCGGCGCCTTGGCCTCTTTGCCAGGCTGCGGCAGCTGCTGGGACGGCAGTGGCAGCCCATCATCGGGGACATTGTGCTTGTGGCTGATCTGGCTGTAGCTGTAGTAGACCTTCTGCTCCCGGCCAGTCATG